TATCATTAGCATCCCTGATCCCAACCCTTATAATTCACAATCGTTCAAAAAACCTACAACCGAAAGGTATCGTTAAACACCGTAAGCGCAAATTCCAAGATGTGAATTCAAGTGATTTAAAATGTGCATAATAATTTTTTTAACTGTTACATAAAGTTACATATTGTGAAAGAGGTAATAATCGACTACCCGAAAAGAATGAATGAACAGATTTTTGCTGGAATGACGTTTTGTGACAATTATTTCATGCATATTGAAGACAATAAATTGATTGATTGTTGGTTGCTTATCGTCAAGTGGCACATACTTCATGCATGTTCAAGACGAGACCATATTATCAATAAATACAATATGCAGGTCAATGATGATACAGGCCGTTCAAAATGAAGATTTGGGAAATATTGTGTGCACTGGCAAATGGCTGTTAAATGTAGGTATATTGGATAGGGGCAGAAATTTATCCTTGCAACAGGCCACCTACGAACCCCAAGAGTTGATGCAAGGGTTCTTAATGTGCACTGCAGAGAGCTACACGAGGTATCGGATTAAACATCCCCATTCTGACCAGACGTGGCTGCGTACTTTTTTATTCCGCCTAGCCAGACGGACGCCCCACTTTGGCAAAGGTTTAACTGCCGGTCGGAAGAAGACTAAAAAGGATTAAAAGGATTTGTCAATTTGGAAAAAATCACTTGGTTATAAAATGATTTTCATGGTAATTATATATGTAATAAAAAACGGAGTCCCAAATGTCCCCCGCGTTGAACATATTTTAGATGTCCATGGTCCAGGGGTATTTACAACAAAAAACAATTTTTTTTGTAAATATCTTGAAGAAATGAAGGTTTGAGAGAAATTGCAATGCAACTTCCGATATAATTAATATTTTCAAGGGACATAACTCTTTTAAAAATAGTTCATCGGAACTGAATTTCGAACTTGTCAAGAGACATTGCTGATGTGAATCTATGATATAAGTTTTATAAAAAAAAAAATCTGACATGCTATTAAAAGTTAATTATTGGATACGCAAAAAGTCAAGTTGTTAAACAACGCCCAAAATTTTCACAATCAAATGATGGTCACGGAAAATAAACAAAATTTACCATAAAAAAAGATGAAATGTAAAGTTAACCCATAAAAAATCCTCCTGACCTCCTGATTGGCTACTGGTGGTCCCCTTAAAATCTGCTCCGATGAAGTGATGGCAACTTTATTTTCTTACCGACAATTAACGAGATAGAATCATAAAAAGTTCAAAATTGAGTTTTAAACGTCGAGCTTTATGACAACGGACGTTTCCTACTGCTCCTTTTGACATCACTTGTTCTCAATGTTAATCTTGAAATATATCCAAATTAAATGGTGGTTTCACGATACACTGATACATATTGTGCATCAATATTTAAGAGTCTGTTAGACACACCTACTTCTTGTTTTCCGATAATTTGATTTTTTTTTCAGTATTTTAAATGAACTTTAAAATTTACGTCAAATATTTTTCAAATATCACTGAACAGAATTACTTCATATTTGAAAAGCATCATACCATCAATAAATAGTTACGTATTTGGGCATTTTGGGTGTGTTAGACTCCTACGTCCTGTTTTTAGGTACTTCGATTTTTTTCAATACGAAACATTTTTACAATAATACTGAACAGAATAACTCCATATTTGGTCAGCAGCTCAATTGTGATGAGTTGTTACGTATGTATCCTTTTCGGATATTTCAGACACCTACTTCCTGTTTCACGATACATCACAACGAGTTGGAAATGCTTAGAAATACAACGCATGTATTCTTGTTGAATTTACTTTTGAGCAAAACACCAGTGCAAGGAGAAACTGCCAACCTCTTCTTGGACATATGAAACAAAAAGTAAAATAACAAAAATATCGAACTCCAAGGAAAATTCAAATGGGAATGTCCTTTATCAAATTGCAAATCAAGAGCTCAAACATCAAACGAATGGAAAACAACTGTCATATTCCTGACTTGGTACAGACATTTCCTTATGTCAGCTTTTTGTAAGGTTAATATTGTTTAACCTTTTGTGTTCTATGCAGTATTTCATGAAATTTTATGTGTTGTCTTTTTCTCTTGGTCATGGTTTTGTCTTTCTCATTTTGATCTGTGCGCAAATAGTACTTGAAAGAATTCAGATTAATTAAGTAATACCAGTTAAGTAACAACATGATAAGAGTGCTGAACTGGATTTTCCAACTGATTTTTTATAGTTTGTTCTTATGTTGTACTGTTACACCACTGTTCCAGGTTAGGGTAGGGTTGAGCGCTCACAAACATGTTTAACCCCGCCACATTCTTAAAGTGTATGTCCCAAGTCAGGAGCCTGTAGTTCAGTGGTTGTCGTTGGTTCATGTCTGTCATATTTTTTTTCGTAAATTATTAGGCAGTTAGTTTTCTCAATTGAATTGTTTCATATTTTTTTATGCCGGGGCCTTTTATAGCCGACCATACGGTATGGATTTTTCTCATTGTTGAAGGCCGTACGGTTGCCTATAATTGATAACATCCACTTCATTTGAACTTTGGTGGATAATTGTCTCATTGGCAATCATACCACATCTCCTTTTTTTATTTTGAAATCCATAAATGAAAAGTTTAAATAGAAATCCTATTTGGTAGTTTTTGATATTCTAGAAATTTAAGTTAACATCTTAAATACAACTTTTAATGTCACATAGAATTGAAGCGGATTTATCCATTGGCCTTGTCCTTAGTTTTTTTGTTTGTTCACCCTTTGCATATTGTTTCCTATTCGTTTGGAAGGTCAGCAATTTTGTGCTGACATAAAATATGATTGATACGAACATTTTTTGAAAATTAACTGATCATAAAATAATAAAATTATTCGAAACCTTTTAGTTTTTTCTAGACCCAGACATAGATAGCCTTAGCGATATTGTTGAAATTAACCCTTTGTAGTGCACTGGATTGAAAGCCGACTATCTTTGATGATTTCTATTAGCACAGGCAATCATAAATCAAGGTAACTAACACCGGGGATTGTATTCAATGAATTTGGCCACAAACACAAATTTACTTTTGTTTTATTACAATTTCTGTTTTCTATATGATTCACTAAATATGACATCCAAAATACGATTGTTAACTCCGTGAAAAAATTTCCTCGTGGAGGACAAGCGGAAGATTTAGTAAATTGATAATGCACGCACTATGAAAAAGGAGGATTAGACAACTTTCAAAAATTGACTCACATTTTTAATCAAATATTTACAGGAATGCAAAAAATGCTTGCATTTTTTTTTACCCAAGGTCTACAGTGAAAGCCTGAACTGCACGTTCCAATATGGCAAGCCGTTCTCGTCAAAACTATGTTTAAACAATTTTTCGAAAAATTTACACACTGATAATTAAAAAAAAAACCACACTGAGATTAAAAAACCTAAAAACACACACTGAGAATTAAAAATTACACACTGAGATTTCATTAAGATGCACTGAGATTACAAAAAATGAAAAACACACACCGAGAATTGAAAATTACACACTGAGATTTCAAAAATACACACTGAGATAAAATAAACTGGAAAAAAAAACACACACACTGAGAATTAGAAATTACACACTGAGAATTTAAAAAATTACACACCGAGATTTGTGCGCACTTTTTATGCTCATATATCTAATTAGCATACTTAATCTGAATCTATTACAAGCTTAAAACAACTAGGGGACAGAACTGTTAGTCCTTCGATTTTGCGCCAAATGTTTTACAAAAAACATTAGAAATACAACGCATAGAAAATTACGTCATTAAAGACCGATAGAACAAGAAAAATATCCACTTACTCTCATTACAAAAATATAACCAAATGGTGAAAAACTTTATTAAAATTATAAGAAAACATTGGAACAATCTGCAAAAAGACAAACAATGCAATGAAATTTTTATCCAAGTGCCTATTATAGCATAAAAACGTAACAACTATATAAAAGATTACCTTACGAAATCAGGGTAACTGTTGAAAGACTTTTGAAAAGGGACCCATGCTTAAACGGTTTTAAGCAAAAAAAAAAAAATCCCGATACACTGTTAGTATAATCTGAAATATATGCAACAAACTAATGAATATGAGTTAGCAAAATACGATATTAAGTCTTGAAATTTATTACGAATGTTGGTTGAAGGAACTGCATTTCATTATAATGACAAGAGTTCGGGAGACATATTTAGATATTAAGCTGTTGAATTATTCGTCTCATGAATATTCCTTAGTAGTTTTCATATTAATCTCAGCCACGGTGTATTTTGAAATCTCAGTGTGTAATTAACAATTCTCTGTGTGTCTTTTTAAAATCTCAGTGTGTAATTTTAAATTCTCAGTGTGTGTTTTTCATTTTTTAAATCTCAGTGTGTAATTTTAAAATCTCAGTGTGTAATTTCGATTTCTCAGTGTGTTATTTTAGGTTTTTAAATCTCAGTGTGTTTTTTTTTTTTAATTATCAGTGCGTTATTTTTTGGAAAAAAGGGTTTAAACATAGTTTTGACGAAAAACGCCTTGTCATATTCCAGTGCCATCCAAGTGCAGTTTTAAAATTCTAAGCCATTATAGCTGTATATTGAATACGATGGTAATGAAATGAAAACAAAACTAGTCCGAAGCTCTTGTCATGATTTACTTTCATCAGCTCAAACCCCCAAAAAGACGAGGGTATATAAATACTGAGATCTCCAATATATGACCAGAAGGAACTTAAAAAGAATCGCAAAATCCACCTAAGGTCAACTTTGCCAGAGGGAGTTGGAACCTTAGTTTCTTAATTCTTAATTACCAACGAAAATTTTTAAGAAGGTATGTTATGAATCATAAAAGTATCAAACATTGTACAGTAAAATAGTTATTGAGGAGAGCTCATATGTACGCACTAATACGAAGCAAATAATAGAACAGCTGATATGGATTCATCGCTTGTTTTTTTTTTCAAAAGCATAAGAATTGTTGACTTTTGATCCATTTTCACATCTGCATACCACCACTGGTATATTATCACAGGTTGACACATATCCAGGAGGGGATGAATCATATATAGGAAAATACAGACGGCATTATGTACAATTAAAATTCAATTTGTACGTCTATTAGGGTTCATCTGGCCTCCGCTCCATTTTCTTGGGTCATCTTTAAGTATTTCTCATACTAAAACTTCTTGAAGGGAATCAATGTTTGGTTGACATGTTCATCTGACCTTGACCCCCTTTGCAAGAATCATTGATAACGGTAATTTCTTCAGATACTAAAATCTTTCGATATAAAATTAAGATTAAGATTTATTAGTAATCAGTAAAGCAGCCGAGATATATATTTTAAGATCATATCTTTTAACACTTTTATATTTCAGTGAATAAGCTAACAATCTGTCTACCTCGTCATAACATGAAGTGCATTAGTAAGAAGATGCTTTAAAACAAAGTAAATTTCAATGGAATCTTCTGAGTTCCATTATTTAGATATCTTGTCAAAGGTCGTAAGCCTCCACAGTCCAGTCTGAAAAGTTCATTGATGATATCCTGTCCAAGCTGACTGAGATCTTGGCTACAGTTTGACAACGCTCTTGCACCACACATTCCAACTTCCTTCAAGGTTCTTTAATTTACAAAAATCTTCAGTTAATTTAAATATGTTAAAGGGCAATTTTAAACCTCTCATAATTCTAGATATCTTTCTGCGTTTTTTTTTTCTGTTTAAGAGGATAATTTTCTACTGATTATATCCTTTTACGTTAAGAAACCATTAGAATATTTTTTTTTGCATTCATATATAAGTTCGTGCTTGGTCTTTACCCAATGTGTAGTCTTGTAAAGAACATACTTTAAGATGTTTTGTTTAAACGTTTATATAAGGGGGTTTCCAATATAATTCTTTACATATTAATTCTATATTATTAGTTCCTTACTCCATTCATATGTGACTTTTATGTATGTTGGTGTTTTTTTTTTTTTTTTGCAGTTCAGTGTTTCTGTTGTTCCGTTGTTTTCCTCTTGTAGTTGGTGTGTATCCCTCGGTTTTGGTTTGTGACCCGGGTTTGTTTTCGCTTAATCGATTTATGACTATTGAACAGCGGTATACTACTGTTGCCTTTATTTATATTTTTCACATTGATTAGTAATTTCAGTAATTTTTTGGTATTCTGGTAGGTCGGTACAATTACTGAAGTTTATAATGTTTTAATGAGTGTTCACTTAGTGTATTTCTAGTCAATATTTCTTTCTTGTGTACGAATTAGTTAAATATCAACATGTCTTAGTCAATTTATATTAGAATAAGCATACATAAAATTATGGTAGTATGTTAAATATTAGATATTACTTTCTATCCAAGGAATACATACCCACAAAGTTCTGTGACAGAATCATCGACATCAAAATATGTATTGTTTTTTTGAAAAGTGTCCAGATATTTCATGAAAAGACGATTTTGCTTCTTTGGTAGAATTGTACAACTACTGAATTCTCCCTTACTGAAGCATTCCACATTATCCTGAATGTCTGAAACAATGACATTGAGATAAGCAGACGGTACTGGACACCATTTCATTAGTTATATCAACAGGGAGAGTAGTTGAAATAAGTATGCATTTCATGTACTAATAATTCTTTATAAATTTGTCGAAATGAACAAGTGCTGTATCAGATTTGGTACTGTTTGAATTTCAATATCAAAATAAAAAGATGTAGTATATGTGCCAATGAGACAACTCTCCACCAGAGGACAAATGACGTAGAAGTCAACAACTATAGGTCAAGTGTGTATATGCATGCTATTTTTACCGCTTCAAATTAAAATTGAGAATTACTCATCATTAGTGACCGAGCTGACATGTCATGTCGCGTTATCATATAACATTCAAAACAGTTGTGGGACCGAGCTGATATGTAATTTCACGTTATCATGTAACATCAATCGCCGATGTGGGAGAGAACGAAGCAGTTATTATATCGACTCATCCCAGCTTACTATACGGTATGGTTCTTGCTTATTGTTGATGGCTGTACGTTAATTGTTCACATATTTGTCATTTTTATCTATGGATAGTTGTATCATTAGCAATCATGCCACATCTCCTTTATGTTATATTAATGATTCAAACACGCCATATTGACTATTCAATAAAATGTTTAAAAGAAAAAAAATCATTTCGGCCTGCAAGTATGCTAGACTCTGGGTGTGTTTTGTTTGTGCATGAATTTGTGTTTTATGTCATCTTAGCACATATATGTTCCAGCTGAAATTGAAAATATAATACATAGATTCCATTGGTTCAACAGCGTCAATAAAAGTAGCAACCCTTTTTCATTTAAGATATTTAAAACATATTACCTCGTGTCCGATCACACATTGCTACAAAAATTACTTGTAGACGATAAGCATTGGTGAGGTCAAGAAAGTTCAGGGAAATTCTGTCTATTATATTTTTGGACTGACCAACTTCCCGAGCGATACAGGTGACAAAATCGTTCATATTGCTGTAAAGATAATAATGTAACAATTCAGAATTGGTTGAAAGCAGTTCTGACAAATTTCAAAATTATTGTGACATCCCCTACAGCGCACGAACATGATATGATGATCATATACGTTTTTAGGTACAGCTGGATACTTTCCAGCAGAAAGTAGACTGAAAAAGATTTCATATTATTCATATTAAAAGCTATCAAGTTCAACAATTTCAAACAGATTTGTTTTACCATGTTGAAATATGAAGTCACCAACAGTAGATTGATGATCTAAACAGGCCATTGTGATAAAGATTTGACCTGAATATCAGAGAAAATGAAAGTTTTGTTCAATGTCTAGCCTCGCAGTTTTTAATACAGTTTAGAATTTACAATACATTGACAGTCGTTTCGTGTCAAAACAATACCCCATCTTGCCTTGGATTGCATTTGAGAATCGCACTTGACTTCATATTGGCGGAACGTGCAAGATATAGCTTACTGATTCAATTGATTTTTTTTTTATCATTCCTAATACTCAACAAGGATCCCATACCCTTAAGCCTTTGTTTGATGCAAAAATTAACCATTTGTTAAAAATATTTTAAAAGTTACAATTATGCATCGGAACTATTATACTACTTTCTGGTATATTCCTCTAGATCGGACTCTGTATTAGTGCTTCTTTATCAGTTCAGTCAATTGCTTCTCTTTCTGTTCGTGGTGTACATTGTGCTGCCTGGCTGTTTTTTAACGATTTTTATTTTTGCAAAGTCCCTTTCTGGCTATTCTTTGTAGGTCCTATTTTGGCTAATCTTTTTATGTCCCTTTCGACCATATAGCTCCTCATTTATTCTGATATCTATACATCCTTGGCTTTTAATTTTTTGGATTTTGGCGTAAATCGAGAAAAGGGCTTCGAACGCATCAAATTTAATAAGTAGTATCTCATTTTACAGAAATTGTTTATTTACTTACGCACATAAGTATGGAATAAAATCTTTAATAACATTCAAAGTAGCTTGTTTTCCGCCAATTGTTGTGTTTTTACCAATATTGCGTAGATAGAGTTCACCGCCTATGTGCATACCACAATACATCATAACCGAAGTAATGTGCGAATTCTCAATCCATTTAGAGTTTGCGTAAAAGCAGTCTGTAGTAAGAAGTTGTTTCTCCACATTTGCGAAGGTTTGTGCTAAACTGGGACTGCATCTCTGTAGCTGTATGCGAACACACCTATCCACAGTTCTTAATGCTCTACAAAGTGAATGTATGTGTAAACCATTCCACAGTTATTATTGCTGTTCAAAATGTATGTATGTGTAAATCTTTTTTTATTTAAGTTGAAACGGACCTTTATGATCCTTTATAAGCACAAAAACAAATGTGCATCCTTATATAATTGCGACCTATGTCTAAACTACGTGGTCTAAAACAAATGGAAATTCAGATTGTATGGTTATTCTATTAAAAACGTAATGCGTTCATTGATATATGACCGTAATGCGTTCATATATAAATGAACGCATTACGGTCCTATTCAAGGATGAAGTTAATAGCAAATGCTCTTGGTGTTCCAACGATAAGCGTTTTTTTTTTTTTTCTTCTAGGAAACTCATCAATTTGAATGCGCAATACGCATGTTTCTTGAATAAATTTCATCAGGTACCATCTGAGCTTAAAGATTTACTAACGACATGTATACAACGTTTTGGAGCATAAAACCAAACAGGGTGTGAAAGATATATCTGGATTGAATCACCGAAGGTTAAATTTGTCCGAGAGAGTTACAATCTTTTGTTTAGTACAATGCTCGTACATAATGACAAGAGTGTCGGATTATTTTGCTGCATCTCTTATAAATTACTTGGGTTCAAATTCATTATTTTGAAGTCTGTAAAACTTTATTATCTTTGACTGTTTATACGTTGTTGGTACTATATGGCTTTCTTATACTACCTTTGCTAAAGTATCTTTCTGTTATGTGTCAAAATATTTCAAGTGATAAAAATTTAAAAAAATTAATTTTAATGTGTTTGATATTTGAAAGTGGCAAATTGTACTCTCGAATGGTCTCTTTATCTTAGTAAATTTGGCTATTCTTCTTAGGTCCCTTTTGGCTCATATTGTTCCTAAAGTAATCAAGTATTTATACATCATTGGATTTTGGGTTAGGTCGTTCATGATTAAGGTGAATCTAGAAAAGCGCATCGGATGCACCAAATTTATAAGTTATTTTTATTTTTTGACAGTATTAATTTGACTTATTCACCTTTGGAGGACATTATGAGATCTTGGAAAACAGTCACATGACAATCTCATCTTTAAAAGATCACAATGGATTTTGTAAAACACAAATATCATATTCTATGTACCGGTGTTTTAAGATTACATCTTTTATATAAAACTGGTGATTGATATTTCTTGCAAAGGCTTTTCCAAGACTCACTAGGACTTCAAATTTGCATCTTCAACAAATATCGTACTCAGGAAAAATTAATTAAGGGTACAATAAAACATGTGCATACTATAGTTTAAACTTTATACCGTTTAAAAGTCTGCGTTCATTATCCTTTGATTGTAGCCGCAAGTTCTAAACAAGCTGTACAGTAAACATTGTGGATGAAACTTTGTAAGTTCGACACAATTTTTCTCCTTCCATTTTTTAATTAATTTCTTCATACTTTTCATTTTCAACTTTCTTTGTGTCTTATCAATCTTTAGAAAAGTTCCCGATAAAATAATTGCAGATAAAAAATAGATGGAAATACGAATTTCAAGGCTTGCAATTTTAATATGATAAATATTTTCATTTTCTTTTAAAACTAGAATTTAGAGAATACATTACTGACTGCTCTTATTTTCTTTTTTTTATTTTAAATAATTTTCATTTATGTGTCAAGGGTATACTAGTCTATCTGTTTGTAATTTTCAAGTGCAAATTCATGAACTCAGGGGAGGTGTGAATAAAAAGGAAGGATTTTTTTTCCGTTCGTATTTTTCTTTGAAATTTTATATTGTTCCTCGATCTCAAACGTTATTTTTTTTATATTGATAGTTCTTGCTTCGGGTTAGAAGATAAATAGAAGCATATATATGGTAGTATATGTTGTTCATGTGTATGTGTGTGTTTGTTGTTTTTTTTCCTTAAGAAGTATAGAGCTAAATTCAAGATAAGATCTGCTTTCATCAGTTTTGAAACATTAAATATCAGTATGTAAAAAAGGGAACTTACAATAGTAAACTTACTAGCTACTTACGTAATTCACAAAAATGATTTAATGCTGAACCAATCGAGTTTGGGTTCAAATACCTGGCAATTATCGAATCAATCTCTCTGAATGGTTTCACATATCGATCTTGAACACACGAAGCAAATGCAGTTCGATTGCTAAAACAAAAGATTATTTAAAAAAAAATACTTTTAAGCTTAATCCTTAGTTATGAATATAATAGTAATGGTAAATTATTATTTTTGAAATATTGTCAAAGCAGTATCCATTGAAAAGAAAGCAAAAAAAGATTTGCAACAAGATAAACACGAAATCACACAATAACTGGTATTCAAAATAGATAAACATTATGAAGTTGGTCTTTGAAACATTAATATATTATATTTTATGAACAATCATATCTTTCAAGCTTTAATCTCTTTTTACAAAATAAAGTATAAATGGAACAACAGTAAATACGCACTGAAGCATTTAGGAGCAAGGAATCAATTTCAATTACTAAGTCGAGTGTTGTGCGCATTCATAGACGAAATACTACTTCAGTGTTTTACCTGCAATAAGACATGGTGTTAAACGATTCAGTAATCTTCGTTGCAATACATTGTAGCTGCAAAATTAATTGACGAATTACGAAAATCTGCAGCCACACCATACAAAGTGCTGTGAAAGGACTCCAAGGCACAAATAAGTATAACGGAATCTATATAACTGTAATATCAAATGCATAATAATGTGAATAAAAGACACAAGTGACAAGATATACTTCTCTTATTACAACATGTTTACTGTTTTGAAACATTTCACATGGCGGTTGATTTATGAATAGCAGTAGAAGCTTTCTCTGTCAACACATCCAGGCTGGCTCAATTTGGAGTTTATGCGATTCCCTCAGTTGTTGGATTTTTATCTTGATTTGTCTTCTTAATCGATTTATGAGATTTGAACATCAGTAAACTTCTGTTTCCTCTAATTTGATATACAGACGTGCCTTTAAGCGACACCAAACATGTTTTTTTTTAATCGTAATTAATATTCATTTTGTTTTTTGATAAATCAAAATAAAACTGAATATGTATTGCTTTGCATTTATGAAAATTTCTTACCGATATCATAACTTGTATTTTGGCATTGCACAAGGTAAAAACCAAATGTTTCAGCACATTGCTTTCTTTAATCAAAGTCCTTTTATCAAAATAACGGTTAAAACATTTGCCATATATACATGATATATCAACTCGAAACAACGCAAACCCTATCATTATCTACTTTGGTTTTTTTGTGGATCCAAAATCATGGTTACCTCTGTTTATTGAATTGAACCAAAATAAGCCATTTATCTTCTATGTTTTACTGTTTTCTTACCAAATTGTTTTTTTTTAAACTTCTTAATAATTATAAGTTCTTTCTGGACTACACGAACTTCATTAAGGAAGAAACGAACAGCAACCAAGATATTTGATAAATAAACACTTTCATATAACAGTAGAGAATAACCTGTTGAAATATACGTGGATGGTGGGCACTTAAAGAATCGTATATACAATATTACAATACTTTAAGTGCATATATATATATATATATATATATATATGATTATCAACAATAAATAGAGGTTTTGTTAATTACAGCTATGTTAGAAAAAATGTAACATGTGACGACATTCTACCTTTCTTTAAACAAAGGCTATTTTGCAAGTCATGAAAAAAAGATGCTTTTAATTTATTTGCAATATTTCAAGTTTATTGTTCATTCTCTATTATTTCGAATTTCAGGCTGCATATATATTCATTCCATCAAGATTTAGATGAACCAGGAAGCCAAACGATAATTCCCAATAAAATCACGGGGATTATCACTGCATGGCACTTTATCTGCGGTGAAATCGAGAGGAATAAACATCGGGAGTAGTCACAGTTCACAGTAGCCATAGGTATAGCTTCTATTTTCTCCGGAAAATTCCTGTACCAAGTCAGGAATATGACGGTTGTTTTTCACTTGTTTCGTTGATTGATAGCGTTTGAATTTGTCAGTTTTTATGGACTTCCCATTTTTGAATTTGCCTTGGAGTTCGGTATTTTTGTTCTACTTTTTTTCTTGACCTCTCACTTGTGTTAACAGAGTCTTAAATGATTTCTCTCTAATAAATATCAGAACCTTCTCCTGAAAATCAAGTTTTCTTACCTCTTGTCCGTACCAGATGACATGGTCGGGTTTATGAAACTGAAATATAAAAATAACTGTTTACTCTATAATTCGTGGTGAAGTAGATGCTGTTAATTGAAATAGAAAGGTAAACACGATTGTCCCTTTCTACATTTCTTAATTAAGTGAATGATTTGAAGTATTTGTCTAAATAAAAGATAGAAGTCAATCAGATGCAATTTTCTTTTTTATAAGCGGTTGTGGTGATAGTTTCTTTTCTAAATAGTAAACAAAATATCGATAGTACAAATTGCTGTATAATCGTATTATGACAGGAAACAACAATTAAATACTCATTAAATACTTCTGGCTCCGACTTATTTGGAAAGTTAAACTTACATGGATTTGACTATTCTTTTTAGCTTGTTTTATAATATAGCTCATCGTGTGTTCGAGAAATTAACCATCCTTGGCTTTCATTGTTTTGGAGTTAAATCCAGAAAAGATTAACTTTAATAATAAGCTAGAAGGTTATTCCAAAAGAGAGATTCGAACGCACCACCAAATTTAAAATGTGTTTTTTTAACACGAACAAGGAGAGAGGACACTTCATATTTACTATAAGTGTAAAAGGGTAAAGTTTCAGTTGCTTGTAATGTTTTTTTTAATCTTTGAACATGAGCTGGTATAAAAGTCATTTGAAATCGTGAAATGCATATTCTAAAGAGGGAACACCTGATGGAATATTGGCTCTGTATGCAAGTATTAGGCATATAAGATTTATTAGCAATTAATGTAACGTTAATGTCTAAGAAAAAAAATGTTATTTATTTCTCAAATACCAAAAATACTGCATTTTATATTTTTTCAACAACGCCTGTTTTAGTTTATAGTAAAACTTTCTCAAATTATTTTTTACATGTTAGAAAGGCATTAGTAACTGCTAGGAGATTGCTAGAAATATTGACGCAGATTATACATTTTCTTTTTTTCACTAGTAAAGTTCGCGATGTTCACAAGTAAAGAAAATCTCCAGGACGCACAACAATATTTCTCCATAAAAACTACAGCAAGACATAAATTACGTTATACCACATATATCAACGATGAATACAAGGAAAGAACATATCTGGAGGCAAACACGAATGTTTTGATTTTGACCTGTGTTTACAGAACAGTTTCTCTATAATATCATCAAAAGATTCTCACGAAAATCAAGTTTCCTTACCCAGCGTTCATATCAAGTGACATGGTCCGATTCGTGAAACTGAAATACACAGATAACCATTCAGTATATTATCCTACATAGTAAAATAGATGGTGTAAATCGGAAAGAAAATGGTAAACACTTTTTCTATTTTCTTCATTAAATGAATAAATATCAGCTTTAAAGCTTACAATAAACATATTTCGTTCAAGTGAGCTTTCTTTCGAGCAATCAGTTGTATTAAGCAGTTGTGATGACAAACAAAAGATTCAGATTTCTTTTCTATATAGTTTACAAACACTTTGAGAAGGAGCTAAATTTCTGTTCAAGCATTTTATGACTGGAGATAACAATAATGTTATTACGTATTTCCTATGTTAACGGTATACAATGGGTGTCTATTCTAAACCAAATTCGGTAACTGTCGCAACTAAGAACATAGAAATATTTTATGTGCAAGAGTCTGTAATGCTTGTTATTTATTATTACCTTTGACAATATGTTGGAATAAAGACTAGCTCATTTGTTAAATAAAACTCAAGCACAGACGCAGGACATAGATCGGGTGTAGTATATTGCCTTAAACATAGTGATTGGGAAGTCATGGCCCTGAAAAAAAGAAACAATCAAATGCATATATTGGAAACAGTTTTGATGATGACTTTGATTTTTTAAGAAATGACAATGTTTTTGGAGGTTTTTTTTTACCAATATCCCTGTTCTTGATGCCGCTTTATTATCGTTGAACTAGCCATTATTAATCACACTGTATTTATTTAACGGCATAATAATCAGTGTAATAAACCTCGGAAACAGTTTTAGACTTTTGTCTTTTTAGAAATTAGTTTTCTGTGATATATCTATTATAGCCCATGTTGAATTAATTTGTGACTTGTCTTGACTCATATATGTATTGACACTAGTCACCCGTTGGTGTTTACCTTTATTTCTCTATATTTGAGGATATTGTTTTTTAGGACTATTGAGTTACTGTGTAGTAACCGCTTACAACAAAACTATCTTTTTTTCGTATGAAATAGCACTAAAATTGAGTGCCTTTACACAGGAAAATTAACAAGAGGCTGTCAGAGTGACAGCAAACCGGATTTTTTAACATTTATTTGTGTCCTGGCATTTTTCAATATCACAAGGACCATAACTCCTGAACGGTAAAAGTGACAATCATCATTATTCAACTTGACCTCCATTTTGTCATCAGAAACAACATATTAAAATTTGATAAGCTTTGGTTAAACGGTCCATGAGTAAAAGCACGGACACAACTGGAAACACCATTTTTCAATCTTTCAAGAACCATAACTCCTGAACGGTGAAAGTGAAAAATGTCAATATCGAACTTGACCTCCATTTGTCATCAGTAACAACATATTAAAATTTGAAAAGCTTTGGTTGAACGGTTCATGAGTAAAAGCACGGACACGACTTGAAACACCATTTTTCAATCTTTCAAGAACAATAACTCCTGAACGGTGAAAGTGAAAATCGTCAATATCGAACTTGACCTCCATTTTGTCATCAGTAACAACATATTAAAATTTGAAAAGCTTTGGTTGAACGGTTCATGAGTAAATGCACGGACATTGTTTGGCAGCCGCCCGCACTGATGCCCGCTCGGATGCCCACCCGCCGTACATCCCCAAATATATAACCGATTTTTCCTTCGGAAATCCGGTTAAAAATTGATAAAACTGTAAAAAGATGAATAAACTTCACTAATAAAATTACTCTCTAATTCGATCCCAATTTTCAATATAATTGTACGATATCTAAGCATTACTTACCGGCACAAATTATCAAGTGTTAAGTTTGGATGTGTCACATGTAACGTGTATTGCGATAAACAACTCTTCACGTTTGTGTTGTTTGTAGCTGATTTCAAACACTCAAGATCATTAGCAACGCCTGTTTTTAAAAGACAGAAGATAAAAACTTGGAAAATATGATTAGAATTTAATGACAGTATTGAGGTTATTCTAATGTATTTAACAAAACAGCACAATCGAAATAGCTTTGATGCTAGTTCCGGAATTTACATTGATCGGTTTATATTTATCGAAATAATAATTGATCAGATATTGACATAGCTTTTTTTTCTTTTGTTTGTTTCTATTTGTTATTCATCATTTTAGTCTTTTTTTTCACTCAGTTTTCGTTTAATGTATTGCTGAATTGATTTCACCCTATACTACTGTCTAAAATGATAACTTATCCGAAAAACGGATTTTAAGAAAATATCATCTTATTCGTGTTTGAGCTTCCATTATTTAAATAGACGGAAATGGTCACCCTGCAAACATTGTTTTACTTGAAACTTAATTTATAAGCACACATTACCTGGAAGCAAATCACAAACATTTTTCATTCTTGATCTCACAAGTTCTTTGTCGAAATTGTCTGCTAGTATCCCGAAGAGTGGGCTGGCACTTTTACGGAGTGTGTTCCGATTACGATCCAAACAGTCAGTAAATTCGTTTATGATACTAAAAGATAGCAGAACAAATTTAGACAAAGTTTTATAATCATATAAGGTATAATGTTCCGATTATGAATATGCTTGTATTGTAATATATACGTTACGCATTCCTAGAGTGAATACATACTAAAAGATAGCAGAACAAATTTAGACAAAGTTTTATAATCATATAAGGTATAATGTTCCGATTATGAATATGCTTGTATTGTAATATATACGTTACGCATTCCTAGAGTGAATACTAGCAATGAAAAATCATTTAAAAATATTGTCTATCTTTTAACAGTTTTTTGTCATCAAAATACTAAAATTTACAGGCACAGATCAGCAGAAAACACAATCAAAAGATTTTTTTACTTTGTGGTAAATGTTGCATTTGATTTGAACAATTTATTTGTTTGTCAAATTTAAAATTCGTGCAGTTTTGACAACATGCGAAAAATCGAAAAGTCTTCCAAACCAATAGATTATGTGAATCCTTAAATAAGTTGTATAGCTAAACGAGCAGAAACATGATTTCATGAACTGAATATTATTTTCTTTTTACAGGTATCAGGAGAACTGTCCTGACAGATTCTTTGAGACGTTAGATCGCTAGCATGAAGCAAAAATATTGAAATGTCATAATAACCATGAGGTGTCTTAATTCACATTTTGATAATATCTGGCTAATAAATTGATAGGATTTTTTAAAAATTCAGAACATCTTCTGAAAAGCTACAGCTTAAATCGGAATAAAGAAAACATTAACACTTAAACAACTGTCATCGTAAGTGGTTATAAAAATAATCACGCCACTGCATTTACTAAAATAACTCAAATGCAAAATAACACAAAATACCAATAACAGAATAGTAATTGATCTGAATTAACGCCATAAGGGTAAGTTGTTACTGCACTTCACATAATACTCGTCGTGAGTTAAAGAAATAAAAAGAAGACAGTTTAGACAATACTCACCCGCAATACATATTAAAGATTTTTGCTACTGATCGTGGTGGATACGTTACATTACGCTTGGTGTTGTTAATTATAATTGACTGACATTATTGGGGGAAAACTAGGGCATCCGCTGGAGGAGCTGCACTAGCAGGTGTGACGTATGCGGTTTTTGGTAAAACTGTGTTTGATTGTGCTTTGACCATTCCAACCAGACATACTATTTACAGTAAGGAATTCATCGTCAAAAACTGTAATTGAAAGCAATGATAACCTTTTTGCTATTTTGTTTGTGACCTAGTTTTTTTTATCAAATGAGCTATATTTGTATTAGAGTATATGTATTCTAGATGCGAGTTTAACTTTGCAAGAGTTTCTATTTGATTTTTCACGTTCATACTATTTTGTAATAATTTTCGGTTCAAAACATGTGTAGGTCTTAAACTTTCAGATATATCTTTTTACATTTAATTTGAATGTGTACCAAGAAACAAAAAGAAAAAACAGGAAAACAATGATAAGTAAACATCAAATGGTCCTTGAAAAAAACATGCCGGTACTTTTACGAGTTGAATAACTTATATTGTTATTTCTATGAAATCAAGTAATGTCAAATGAATTTCTCATATGATTCAAATTTACATGTAAAACAACAAAAAACAAATGATATAAAAAATTGCACAATATTACCTTATGGACAAATAATCAAGAGTATTATCAACTGCACAATTTTTGGGGTCTTATAGGGACAACACCGGTCGGGAAATGTTATCTGTTTTTGTCGGAAAAAATGTACATATTTAATAAGCAAAACATCCGTTGACATTGAGTGCGGTTATTACTAAAATCATTTGTTAAATTAACATATAGATATAATATCCTTTTTGAAAAAGAAAGCACTTTAAACTAAACTGCTTAAGTCTGTTTATTACAACATAAGTACACAATACGTTAATAGAAATTAGACTGTCTTCTCTGAATATCATTGAGTCAAGTCTTTTCTATGTTAACAGAAACTAGGTGATCTTCCATGAATAATATTGTATGACTATTTTCGACATTTTTACCCATTATGTCTGTTTGTTTTGTTCACACATTGTTGTCAATATAATGAAATTTTATGCGACTGTCATACAAGTAAGAGGTTTAGCTAGCTATAAAACCAGGTTTAATTCTCCATTTTCTACATAAGGAAATGCCTGTACCAAGTCAGGAATATGACAGTCGTTTACTATTTGTTTGATGTGTTTAAGCTTTTGATTTTGCCACTTTATAAGGGACTTTCTGATTTGAATTTTCCTTGGAGTTCGGTATTTTTGTTATTTTACTTTTAAGTACTCTCTTCTAACAGAAGCTAGATATCTTTTCTGAATATCGTTGGGTTTACTCTCTGTTAACATAGGCTATGTGATCTCTGAATATCATTGGATGAAGTTTAGTACTCTCTTCTAACAGAAGCTAGATAACTTCTCTGAATATCATTTGGTTTACTCTCTGTTAACATAGGCTAGGTGATCTTCTCTGAATATCATTGAATGAAGGTTATCTCCTTATTTTTACATTTAGTACTCTCTTTTGATAGAAGCTAGGTTATCTTCTCTGAATATCATTGATTTGAGTTTACTCTCTGTTTACAGTAGCAATAAATTATTTTCTCTGAATATCATTGGCTTAAGTTTACTCTCTGATAATATGAGCTAGTTTAACTTCTCTGAATATCATTGAGTTAAGTTTATTCTCTGTTAACAGAAGCTAGATGATCTTCTCTGGATATCATTGGGTTAAGTTTATTCTCTTTTAACATGAGCTAGATGATCTTTTCTGGTTATTATTGTGTTAAGTTTACTATCTGTCAACAGAAGCTAGACAATCTTCTCTGGATATCATTGATTTAAATTTACTCTCTCTGTTAACAGAAGCTAGATCATTTTCTCTGAATATCATTGGTTTGAGTTTACTCTCTGTTAACAAAAGCTAGATTATCTTCTCTGAATATCATTGCCTTAAGTTTACTCTCTGTTAGTAGAAGCTAGAGTATCTTCTCTGAATATCATTGCCTTAAGTTTACTCTCTGATTTTAGGAGCTAGATGGTATTCTCTGGATATCATTGGGTTAAGTGTATTCTCTTTTAGCAGGAGCTAGATGATCTTCCATGGATATCATTGGGTTAAGTTTACTATCTTTTAACAGAAGCTAGATGACCTTCTCTTAATTTCATTGGTTAAAGAATACACTTCATTACTTTTTGTTGATTACCTCTGTAAACTATAACAAAGGCCTTACAAAAATCCTTAAACAATCATAAATTTGTATTTTGCTTTTTAACTGTGACAACGCAAAGGTGGTTGTAATACTTTTTATTCTGATAAAAATCGTATTTACGTTTGTATAATATATACTTTTACCATGAAATATAATGGCATATCAGAATTTAATAAAAGATAGAACAAAATTACAATATTAATGTCAAAGTGTTATAAAATACATTTAATATAATACAGGGTCTTTTTCATATGTATAGCTCATTTATTATGATCCTGGCGTGGGGCAAGAGTTTCAAAAGGGATAACATGTAAACAGCAAATGGGGTTTTCTTATATACAAGTTGGGCTTAAAAGTTAACATATAAAAAGGTTATATTTTGATATTTAACTAGCAGATCATAAGAAGGAATCCATGAAATAAGTTAACAGAGTGAACACAGTCAATTATGAACCCCAAACGCATTTAAACCTGCTTCGACAGGTTACCACTTACTGATTTTTTTCCCAATCGTATGAGTATTCACTGACAAAATTATCATAAAAGGAGCTTAATTTTCGGATGGTAAACCACAACTAGTACCCGAAAATGACGTCATATTATTCAAACTTTGTTCTATTTTGCGATGCTATAGGATTGTCAGGTTGTTTTCGACTTATGAGTAAGAAAATCCCTTAAGTATGTTTCGCATCACTTTGCCATTATATGCATTAACAATGGTAGTGTAATAACAGATCAATACATTGTATATATTATTTTAGATAAGGTCTGTATGCTCTATGTTGGATTGTAATCGTTAGAACCCCTAGAGTAAAGACGGCCGAAATTGGATTTGAAAACGGTACAAATAAGCTGTAATATATGTTACAAAATATTAAGTAACAGGACTAAGTAATAAGTGGCCGACCATTTGATTTTCTGGAGGGGTTGAAAATGAATAACGGGACCTGGTTAGATGTGCAAATAAATAACTTTGCACAAGACAGGATGAAAATGAATTTCAAGGAGCACAACTCTTTTAAAAATAGTTCATCGAAACTGAATTTCGAACTTGTCAAGAGACCTTGCTGATGTGAATCTATGATATAAGTTTTATAAAAAAAATCTGACATGATATTAAGTTATTGGATGCGCAAAAAGTCAAGTTGTTATACGACGCCCAAGATTTTCACAATCAGATGATGGTCACGGAAAATAAACAAAATTGACCATAAAAAAAAGATGAAATGTAAAATTAACCCATAAAAAAATCCTCCTGACGACCTGATTGGCTACTGGTGGTCCCCTTAAAATCTGCCTCGATGAAGTGATGGCAACTTTATTTTCTTACCGACAATTTTTGGAAATCGAGTTCAATTTGAATGATTACTCGCAACACATTTTAAACTTTTTTTTTCAATTAACGAAATAGAATCATAATAATTTCAAAATTGAGTTTTAAACGTCGAGCTTTATGATAACGGACGTTTCCTAGAATTGCGTCCTTACTGCTCCTTTTGACATCACTTGTTCTCAATGTTAATCTTGAACTACATCCAAATTAAATGTTGGTTTCACGATACACTGTATCAGTCAGGAATATGACAGTTGTTGTCCATTCGTTTGATGTGATTTATCATTTGATTTTGCCATTTGATTAGGGACTTTCCGTTTTGAATTTTCCTCGGAGTTAGTATTTTTGTGATTTTACTTTTTTCTGAGACATATTGTGCATCAATTTAAGTACACGAAAATGACGTCATATTATTCAAACTTTGTTCTATTTTGCGATGCTATGGGATTGTCAGGTTGTTTTTGACTTATGAGTAAGAAAATCCCTTAAGTATGTTTCGCATCACTTTATCATTATATGCATTAACAATGGTAGTGTAATAAAAGATCAATACATTGTATGTGTTATTTTAGATAAGGCCTGTATGCTCTATGTTGGATTGAAATCGTTAGAACCTCTAGAGTAAAGACGGCCGAAATTGGATTTGAAAACGGTACAAATAAGCTGTAATATATGTTACAAAATATTAAGTAACAGGACTAAGTAATAAGTGGCCGACCATTTGATTTTCTGGAGGGGTTGAAAATGAATAACGGGACCTGGTTAGATGTGCAAATAAATAACTTTGCACAAGACAGGATGAAAATGAATTTTCTGCAACACCAATTGCTAGAAACTAATGTGCAAAAGTGAAAATAAATAAGTTGAACGTAAATCATTAATCAGGAAGGAAAATCATCTTGTCACCTCCCCGAAACATCAAATGGTTACCCCTAAGTTAAACATGCCCCTCTAATGAGGCGAACGGGTCTGCAACAGTTCAGCCAGCTCTTTTCGAGAGGTTTCGTACAGTAAATTGGACGTCGTTAGCTTCAACATAAAGATCAAACGGAATATCAGTTTTTCCACTGCCTCTGCTAAAACTGTTCACATCCATTGCCACTATTCCTGTATCTCGTAAATAAAGCTGAATCTTTATTCTTTCCGATTTAAAATGTGACAACTTATAAAAATTGGGAACAACAATATTTATTTTATTGTGGTTGTTTTTTCTGGCACTGCCGTTTAGAAATTTAAAACACCGTCAAAGAGTGGTAGCATTTAATAAGGGACTTTCCGTTTTGAATTTTCCTTGGAGTTCGGTATTTTTTGTAACGGAAAGTCCCATATCAAATGGCAAAATCAAAAGCTCAAACACATCAAACGAATGGAAAACAACTGTCATATTCCTGACTTGGTACAGACATTTTCTTGTGTAGAAAATGGTGGATTAAACAACCTCTCACTAGAATGACAGTCGTATAAAATTCTTTTATACTGACAAAAATGTCAAAAATAGGGGTACATCAGTCAACATTGTGTTATAATCTTAATCACTATAAAAACAAACAAATATGACAACAAATAAAAACAAAATGGATGTACAGACCAAGCACATAAGCAAAAATTAAAGACAAGAATACAAAAAAATTACCACAATGGCGGGATGCATAAGTACCGAGCCACGCGAAAAGGATATTACCAAAAATGGACTAAACAATAAAGGTTAAATAATTTACAAAGACAAATAAAAGAACACTATAACACGTAATTAAGATGATAAACAACGTCAGTGCCTAGAATCTATACTTCAAGACCATCATGTATTATATGTGAAGTTGATACGAAATATTTATCAACAAGGTCTTGGTATCTTCCGATGAAATTTTTTAGGAAAAGGACGAGACGTTTTTTGACATAACCCTGGTTCATCAACCTTCTGCTCAGACACTGGTGACGTTTTTTTAGTCTGATTAGCAGCTGGACGCACGTGGATTCAAATTCCAATTTAAACATTAACTATTAAATAAAGAGTATAGAATTGACTGATTGAAAGTTGTTTGCACAACATCCTTCCTACGGACCACTGATACAGTTGTTACAATGATTCTTAAAAGTACAGAAGAATGGCGCATACCGTACAAATATTTTTTTCATTGTAACTGCAGGCTAACGATGG